GTATACTATACCCCAAAAACCCTATCCTAATTATTAAGGCCCCTATAGTAATGATTTTCTGCCATGTGCTTCTGTGCTCTGCCATCCCGGTGCAGTGCATGGCTGGAAGCCCACTAAATCCTAAACCCTACCTTAAGGACGAAAAGAGCCCCAAAAGGGCTCAAGGTTCACATACCATATAGGGATTCATAGTATAAGGGCAAAAGGGGCCCCTACTTTTAAGGGTCATTTGGTCCTTAAGGACCCTAAACCCTAAACCCCTAAACTCCTAAACCCTCAAACCCCTGAACCCCTGAACCCTAAACCCCTGACCCCTTACCCTACACCGTAAAGTCCTAGACCGCAAACCTAGCACACGTTGAGTTTCGGGGCTTTGAAGTGACCCAAGAGAAAAAAGCGCATAAACTTGAGTCTTATCGGGGTTCTTTTCAGGAACAGGAACAGGACCCTAAACCCCAACCCCTAAACCCCTAAACCCCTAAACCCCTACACCCCCAACCCCTAAACCCTAAACAGGTAGCAACAAAGAACTAGAGAAGGGAACCCTAAACCCTAAACCCCTAAACCCTAAACCCTCTAAAGAAGGATACTCCAGAACTCTGTAAAGGAGCTCTTGGACACTGCGGACTCGGAACTGGTTTTGGCTTTAGGGTTCTAGAACTGAACACCCTGAGAACTACGAACCGTACTAAGCGAAAAGTAGTCCTTATAGGAACACTCGCGGTGGTCTTTTTAAACCTCAGAACCCTTTGAAAAACCCAAAACCCAAAACCCTAAACTGAGGCCCTTGAGCCTCCAGAGAGAGAGAGATGGAGGGTTGAAGGTTCAAGGTTATATAGTAGCCCCCAACAAGTTGGAAACCCTAAACCCTAAACCCTAAACCGTGAGTTTAGGGTTTAGGGTGGAGCCTGGAACAGATCAACATCCTCACAGGGAGTCTGCTGCGCCGAAGGATTCGCCGTCTTGCACATTCGCCCCTGTTTAGGGTTTAGGGTTTAGGGGGCTGCTAGCTTCAGAAGTCTGGGAGTTCCTTCTACGTCAGGGAGTTTGGGGGGTAGGGTTTGGAGGGGCCTTACGGACGAAAAGAGCCCTAAAAGGTTTTAGGGTTCATATACGATAGAGGGGTTCATAGTATAAGGGTATAGGGCCCCTACTTTTAAGGGTCCTTTGGTCCTTAAGGGGGGGGCTGGCTAAGACTCGAATAAAGAGCTTGGTGATGTGAGCTTTCTTTGTTCGGGACGGAGGGCGCAGTTTGGGGGTTTTGGTGTGCTGGCTTCCTGCCTTGGCATCGTTGTTCAGCAGCAGATTTCATTCGCCTAATTCAGGGGCCTTAATAATTAGAACAGGGTTTGAAAGCCCGTTATACTACAGTTATAACAAGGAACACCCAAACTAGTATACTGTAGGTAATTATTTAGGCCGCTACATTACTCTCCCACCATCTTGCACCTTAGCCTTAAACCCCCCTTCCCTAAACCCTGTAAAACCCGAAACCCCTATATACTAACCCTAAGTTAGGGTTAGTAACCCCCAAACCTAAACCCCAAACCCTAAACCCTAAATTCCTAAGCCCTCAACCCTCAACCCTAAACCCTAGACCCTAAATGCCTAAGCTCTGGACTGCAGTCTCAGGGGAGTAGCGCCTTGAGGGGTGTCCGGGAAAAGCAGGAACTGATGGGGGCCTACTATACGATCTTCTTGGGCTTTGTAAGAGCCTTTCTTGTGGGTTTTATATAGTTTCTCAGACTTTTATCGGATTCTTTACGGCTTCTTAGAAAGCTTTGGCAAGGAACATCAACTGGCAGGTCCTTGGATTTTTACGGGGACGCGACAGTCGCGTTCTTTCCGGACCCCTTCGGGGATGCCGAAATCATTGCCTACCCTCTAAGGACTCATAGTTTTTAAGGCGTTTGGGCCCAAAGACCCTATTATATCATATAAGGCTTTTGCGCTATTTTGATGCTAAGGGATTGTGATCATCAGCTTGCCGAGACGTAGGGTTACGTTTGAGGGCTGGCAGCATTTCAACCATCAATTCTGGGGCCAACTACGGTTGATGATATAAACCCTGCATTACCCATAGTGAGCAGTACACCAGAATTCCCATAGCTTGGGGTCCTTAAGGTAATGCAGGATTTCTCTCATCAACAGTATGAAACCTCTTGGCCCGTAACTGCCGTCTTTGACTGGGTCGCATACGCCATGAAGAAGAAACAATGTGGAAGGTAACCTAAACCCTAAACCGGTAAGCACAAAAGGCAACGTAGTTCTTTGGAGATCCCGTTTTAAAAGGAGCCGAGCACTAAGGAAACCTACAGCCCCCAGGCGACGTTGGCCACGCAAAGGCTTTCGCCTCTTGCATGGCTTGGAGGTGTGTGAGGTATGTGCCGTATAGGCCGTCCTTGATGCTTGGGAGGCCTCTGTACCTTCAGGACATAAAGAGCCTTTAAAAGTAGGGGCCTTATACCCTTATATACCCTTATACTATGAAGCTCTATATAGTATCTGAACCTTAAGCCCTTTTAGGCTTCTTTTCGTCCTTACGGAATGGAGGCCAGCATCCCATGCGCACACAGATGTGGCAGGTTGCGTACCGTCTGCAGTGGTGCAGACCTCTCACTAGCATGCTCGCCGTGCACACCTTTGCCCTCACTCATGTGTAGTAAGAGCAAATTCAAACAGTAACGAGTGCAGGCGTTTTTGAAGAACACGACTGCGAGAGTCGGACTGTCCAAGAGCTGGCAGCCAGCAGGCCCAGGAACATCATGAGGAGATCCGACAACCCGAGCCTCCCACCCAGAAGGCAGTCCCCTTTAAGGGGACCCTTCTAAACCCTACTTCTGGATCTCTTGAAAGGGACATTCTCCAGAGGGTCTATATCGGCCCCCCTAATCCTAACTCCTATAAGGTTTAGGGGTCTAAATCCGCAACCAAAGTACCACATTATTGGGTCCTTTGGACCCCTAGGGTTATATCATGAAGACTCTGATATTTGGGATTACCTAAACCCTATAAACCCTAAACCCTAAACCCTAAAGCCTAAAGCCTAAACCCCAGCTACCTTCATCTCGCCTTTGGAGCCCTCTGAACAAAGAGCCTCCGGATCGGTCGTATGGCAGCCGGAGTCATCGCAGTACTGCGGCTTCTCCTCCTGACGGTTTAGGGTTTAGGGTTGAGGGTTTAGGGTTTAGCGTTGAGGGTTTAGGGTTGAGGGTTTTAGGGTTGAGGGTTTTTCGGGTCCTAGTGTTTTAGGTCTTTCGGGTCGTAGTGTTGTAGAGTTTAGGGCCTTAGGGTTTAGGGTATTAGGGTTTGGGCTTTAGGGCTTTAAGATTTAAGGGTTTAGGGTTCAGGGCATTTAGGGTTTAGGGCTTTAGGGTTTTAGGGTTTAGGGCTGTCGGGTTTCATGAGGGTTTTGACTATGGTGCCTTTACCGATCAGACCTCGGCCGCTAACCCTAAACTCAAGAACTCAAGCACAAACCCTAAACTGTCGAACCCCTAAGTGCAGCATAAACCATTAAACCTAAAACCTAGAAGGCAGGGCCACAACCAGACACGTCACACAGGAAGCCCTAAACCCTAGATAGTAAACAACAATAGAAACACTGAGCCCGAAAACTCTTACCCAGACCCCCGGAAGGATGTAAAAAGTGGATCCCCTAATTTGGGACCCTGTGCTACTAAGGTACTTTAAAGGAACCCCCATTCAGGGATCTGCTCTTTGGATCCTCCCGGGGGTCTGGGTAAAGGACAACTGGGGCCTTTGCCGTCAATGAAGATATGGGGGCCTTCACAAACCCAACTGGGCTTATAGGATTCATGGTTTAGGGTTTAGGTTTGGGGTTTAGGGTTTAGGGTTTAGGATTCAGGGTTTAGGGTTCATGGCTTAGGGTTCACGGACTTGGGCTACCATCTACAAAATGAGCGGGGCAGGCTCTGACTTCTCCAACCAACCACCGAAAGGAAAGGTTTAACCTTCAGATTTCTATTAGACGATAGGAACCCCAAAAGTTTAAAAAAGTAAACCCTAAAACCTAAACCCTAAACCCTAACTATAAGAACCCCAAAAGTTTCAAAGTAAACCCTAAACCCTAAACCGTATTGAACAACTAAGGGCTTCCCGGGTGTGAGACATGACAGCTCTTGACAAGGAGCCAGCCATGCACATCCGGACCTCGACCCCTAAACCCTACACCCCTAAACCCCTAAAAACTCTAAACCCTGAACCGTCCAGGTTTGAAACCTTAGCGGCTGATTACCCCAGTCCAGAAAAGGTTCAACTTATGTTTTCGGAATTTAAGACGCACGAAAAGGTTAATAGTTTCCATTAGATATGGGAGGAGCTTTACCCAGAAAGGTTACATCTAAGATTCAGGTTTAGGGTTCATGGTATGGGGTTTATAGGGCACGATGGGCCTTCTGAAAGTGGTCGTTGTAAAGCGTCACCATGTCGGCAACCGCGGGTATGCACCGCAAGCAGGAGTAAGGGCACCTGCTTGCCAGTCACAGTGTAGAGCTTTAGATGACGGTGCCAAAACCGCTTCAATACGGTCTAGCAATATTATTTCACTGTTCGAGTAAGTGTGCACGAATTACATCGAACAGAGCAAGGGAGCATAAACACGTATGAACACACGACAAGAAAATGCCTGGATGAACAAGGAAGACTATAGCGGCTCAATCCTATAATTGGTAAAGGCCTTCAAACCCTAAACCCTGTAGACCCCTGAACCTCAAAGCCTAAATACTAAACCCTGAAACCCTGGACCCCTGAAGACTCAAACCCTAAACCCTGGACCCCTAAACCCTCAAACCCTACCCTAAACCCTGGACCCCTAAACCCTCAAACCCTAAAGCCTAGACCCCTATATAAACTCTATATAAACTCTAATCCTAAACCTTAAACCCTAAACCCTAAAACCTTAAACCCCAAATCCTGGACACCTGAAGCCCTAAACCCTCAACCCTAGACCCTAACACCCTAAAGCCCTAAAAACCTAACCCTAACTAAACCCTAGATTCTAAACCCTAAAAACCTAAACCCTTAA